TAAGCATACATGCAGTCACCAGACGCACTGCAAATCTTATTTGTCACTTTTCTATCATGTTTTTGAGGTTTCTATCGATGTGCCTCTCTCTCTCTTAAGGTTACGTGCCTCAACACATGCGTAAATACGCCCTCTCTGACGCCAATTCCGTGTACAATGTCTTCACTAGCACCTGTTACACAGAGCAGCACTGAGTCTGCGTATGATACAATTAGTTCGTGGGTACGCGTAAACAAGGTCAAAGTTGACAGCTATAAGACCAAAGAGATAAGAGAAAACCTTTACGATATTTTGAGCCTATTAAACTAATAGCCAATATTTATGAAATATTAAGACTGCACTAATATAATAATAATAATAATAATAATAATAATAATCTATTAAATTTCTATAGCGCTATATACATTAACTCTATAGCGCTTAACAACTAGGGGGAAAAAATATACAAATAAAATTTCAGTATAAAAAAAACTAAGAAGGTAAAAAATTATAAACTGTATTAATAGCATATTCAATATAAAAAAACTATAATATGAAAAATTATAAACTAAAACTATTATATGAAAAATTATAAACTATATTAATAGCATATTATATAAAAAACGTTAAGTCCATTTGTAAAACTTAACATATGCAACAATCACTAAAGATTTAAGATTTAACAGAAATGTTTTTAAGAGTTTTTTTGATGATGATATTATCATATATATCGAGGATATTACATGATCGCGCTGAGATACAGATTTTATCTTCGAGTGTTGAGATGATATCTTACGAGTGCCTAGGGCAGTGAACGAGTAGGTAGGTATAAATAACATTCTGCCGTATACGCGTGATCTAAGAAATGACCTATCTAGTCATTATACGTCCTTATGTCATATTAATTGCATGATTATCAAGTTCTGAATGATTTATTGTTTGCGTCGCTTCATGTGCTGGAAGCAATATAGTATGAATAGAAAAAACACCTAAAATCATTAAAAACACCAATGCGAAGCTAAGAATAGAATCCTTGTGAAAACCGCAAGAAACTTGGCGCAATTAACGCACGTCTTGTTTCCAAAAAAAATATTGTCACAAGTTTTAGTAGTGGAGAAAGTATTTCGGAGAAAGTTCTAAGTAAAAAGTATACTTTGTTTAGAATGCCATTCTTTTCTCTTTTCATTTCATTTTTTTATTATTTTTTTGAAAAAGGTTTTCCTTTTCGTTTCTCTTTCCTAATTTACCGACCCTTCTATTTTATTTCTTCTCCTACCTTTTTTCTTACTTTTTATCCTATATTCTTATAATTTCTTCCTCATTTTTT